CCCCCCCCCCCCCCCCCGGCTCCCAGCACTGCTGTCCTGGCTGGGGCCCCCTTCTCACCCGGAAGTGGGCCAGCTGCAGGGCGATCTGGATGAAGCTGTCCGGGCTGGTCCGGCATTTCTTGATGAGCCCCTTGCCGAAGGCGCTGAAGCAGAAGCAGCAGAAATCCACTTCGTCGGCCAGCGCCCGGGCCTCCCCGTAGGCGGCATCGATGGCCTGGATGCACTGCGGGGAGAATCGGCCCTGAGACGGGGGTGGGGTGGGGGGGAGGGGGAGGGGGAGGGGGGGCAAGGAAAGCTCCCTCCCTCCGTGTGAATTTTGCCACTCAACTTGAGAGGAGCCGAGGATGAGTCCTGACCGGTGTCAGCCGGATGCTATTCTGGTCTTTTTGGACGCAAGAAGCAGCCAATAAACCACCTTCTGGCTTGCCAAACGTGCCATGTTTACGGTGGGGTTCCCACAACTTGATTCCCCGCAACCACAACATCCCGTATGACCCAGAGTAGCTCCCTCGTGTGCCAGTCTGCGCCAGCTTTCTACAAGGGACAGCTACCCCTTGCACCAGCCCTCCAAGACCGGGGGCGGGCAGGGGCTCTGGCAGGCAGACTTAATGGGGATCCCTGCACTCAACAGGAGGCTGGACTGGATGGCCTCAAGGGCCCCATCCTAGCCGAGGAGCCTAAGGCTGGGCAGAGTTTCTTCTGTTCCAAGGAGCCCCCCCCACAACATTCACCACCACCCCAGATGTTTTCAGGATGGGGACTGTTGTGGGGGCCTCCCACCTGCTTTTTGGGCAGAGTCATTCTCGGGGGGGGGGGGCTGTGGCACTAAGGTAAAGAACCCGCCCTCTTCCCCCTGAGCCCCTTTCAGGCCCCCCACTCTGCAGTGCCCAGACCCACCTCTTCCGGAAGGTCCCACGCCAAACGCTGCGGGGGGAGAAGGTCGGTGTTGGGCACCCCCTGGCAGTGCCCACCATTGCAGTAACCCAGCAGCATCTGGTCTGTCGCCAGCATGAACTGGGCAGTGAGCGGGAGGGAGGGAGGGAGAAAGGGCACCACAGGGTTAGACAGTCGCTCTGGCCTCCCCCTCCCGACCCCGTCAGCCTCCGCCGGCCTGTCCCCAAGCAGGGCTGAGGAAGTGGGGAGGGGCTGCTCACCTCCCAGAGGTGCCCCATGATGGGAGCGTCGGCCCACGAGTGCTCGGCGTTGCCCCCCAGCTTGCCGTTCGGGTAGACCACCAGCGTGAAGGACTTGTCGAACCACCTGGGGAAGAGAGTCCACCTGCACCCAAGCTGGCCCGGCTCTGGGCAACCCCCGGAAGCCCCCGAGGCCACGAGGCAGGCGGGAGCGGCCCTCCCCTCTGCGGGGGTCCCGGGGACGCAGAGTTCCCAGGACCAAGATGCCCTCCTGCACAGGAAGGTGGGCTTGGCTGTCCCCCCCTCCCCCCCCTCCTCAGGGGGGTGAGGAAGGGCCCCCACTTCCCAGGAGGGGCCCAGCCCTGAAAGGCAAAAGACCGGGGTGTCCAGGATGGAGAGGGAACCGTTTGCTCGAGCGGCTAAAGCTCCAGGCTAGAAAGCAGCCAACTGCGAGTTCAGGTCTTGCCGGCCCCCAGCCCAGCCCACCTCACAGGGTTGTTGTTGGTGGGGTGGGGAAAAGAGGAGGAGGAGGAGGAGGAGGAAAGCGTGTGGGATGCCGTCCACCGCCCTGAGCAGGTCGTGGGAATGGCAGAGGCAGGGGATAAAACCGCCGAATCCCCAACGACCCCCCTCTGCCACCCCGGCCCAACGGGAGCCGGATGCCCTCACCGGTCGTAGCAGCGCCCGTGCAGGAGGCTCTTGGCGTACTCGCTGAGGCTCTCCTCGTGCTCCGGGTTGAAGCCTTGCGCCTCCTCGTCCAGCACCAGGAAGAAGGCGGCTCGGTCGATGCAGTCCAGCGATGCCCGGTTCTTGCCCCGCCCGAAGAACTTGGCACGGGCCTCGGCCCAGGGTACCCTGGAGGGGGGTCGGGGGGGGGGCTGGCTGCCCCGGGTGCCTCCAGGGCCCCGGGGGCACCCCCAGCTGTGCCCACTGCCCCCCGCTGCAGGGGGGGTTCCCTCCCCCCTCCCGTAAAGGGCTACCTGCTCCCTGCGGTGAGGGCCGCCAGCCTCAGCTCCCCCGGCTGCGGAGGGGAGGGGTCATCCAGGATGCGCTGGAACTGCATCTCCAGGTCCCGGGGGGGCAGCTGCTTCCCCCCTTGGTAGAGCCACACTTTGAAGAAGCGGCCCCGGTGGAAGACCGCCAGGTGCCTGCTGTCGGCCAGGTGCAGGAGGGAGTCTGGGGAGGGGGCGGGGGGGGGGGGGGGCGGGGGGGGGAGGCGGGCCTGGCCTCTGCTCCACGCTGACCTAGAGGTCACCCAGCCCCTTTCCTCCCCCCTCCCTTCAGGGGCTTGAGGTCAAGGGTCAACCCGCCTGCTTCTTGGCTGAAGAGGAGTCCCCCCATGAGGAAGGGCCGCCCCCCCCAGGTGCCAAGTTTGGACATGAAGCCCCCTCCCCCATCTGGGTCGGTTTCTCGTTTCAGGTCAAAGTCGTTACGGGTAGTCCTCGACTTACAACCATCCATTTAGTGGCTGTTCTGAGGTTACAGCGGCACTGAAAAAAGGGGCTTGTGACCATGGCAGGGTCAAACTTCGGACGCTTGGCAAGTGACTTGCATTTATGACCGATCCCCTCCAGTGACCTTCTGACAGGCAAAGAAGGGATCGTGGGGGCCGGATTCACTTAACGACCTCCACCATGGTGGCAAGCAAGGTCGTAAAACGGGGCAAAACTCCATTAGCCGATGTCTCACTGAACGACAGACAGGTGGGGCTCAGTTGTGGTCGTAACTCGAGGACTACCTGTGTTGCAGGGGGAGGCATGGGGGCTGGCAAGCCCGGGACCCTCAGGGGTTATTCTCCCCCGCACTCAGGGACCTTTGAGGGACCCCTCCCCCACAAAAAGCCCCCTCCAGATCCGCTGCCAGGGGCCCTTGCCAAGCCCAGAGGTCCCCCCCCCCAGCCTCCCCTGCTTGGAAGCCCCCAGGGTGCCTGGGACGGGGCAGGAAGAGCCTGACCCACAGAGGCACCCCCAGTGCCAGGACCCCTGCCAGGCTCAGGGGGAGTCAGCGTGGCAGCCCCCCCAACCTGGCAGCAGCCTTTGGCCTGGCTCAGCAGGGAGAACGCGGCCTGCCCCCTCCCCACTCCCCAGGGCCGCCCACCTGTCTCTTTGCCCGGGATGCGCGTCGTGTTGAATATCCGTTCCATCTGGTAGGAGCACAGGGGCACCACTCCCAGCGCCATCACCTGCGGGGGGGGGAAACAGGCCGAGGGGGCCCAGCCTGGCATCAGGGGGCCGGAGCGTCGCAAGGTCTGCCCACCCACCTGGGGGAGCAGAGAAGGGGCACCGGGCAAGGCGGACCAGAGTCCCGGCAAGGGGGGGGGGGGGAGGGCGCAGGTTCTGCCCCCCCCCCCCCCGCCCGGCCCCCCAGAGCCCGGGGGGGGGGGGCCCCCCCGGCCCCCCCCGTCCCCCCCCCGCCCTCCCCCTTGGCAGAGAAGCTCCCCCCCGGCCGGGGGGGGGGCCCCCCCCCCCAAGGGGCCGGGGGGGGGGGGGGCGCCTTCCCAGTCCAGGGTCCTGGGGTGAAAGGGCCCCTCGAAGGGCCTC